CTGGTCTTGTGTATATCTCTTCAGAGGAAATTTGTTTAAATTTTCTGGGCTCAAATTGTAATTAATAAAAATTTTAGGTAATAGTGAAAATAATTTTTAATGGTTTTAAAATTTGAGTTGTTGGTTTTTTTTGTATGTTTCTGGGCTGACCTGATGTTTGTTTTCTGTCCAAATAGACGTCTATTTTGTGTCTAAACATTCGTCAGTATTTGTAAATATATATTTAGGCTGTTCAAATGGCCACGAATAATGCATAAATTGTGTGGCTTTCTACCATATTAAGATACACCATTCATTACAATAAATATCTGCGTCGAATTTCCCTCTCTAAATTCTGCTCCTGCCTTTCGAGTACAAAATACAAAAGTTGAGTTTGCTGGAACTCTTAGAGATTGTTGTGCTGCTTGCATAAGAGACGAAAATCGGTTCCATTCTAAGAGGCGATTGTCGACTATCTTGAAGTACCATAGAAGGGAGAAAATTCGTCTTAAAGATTCATCGTGAATTAAGAATTTATTGGAATAAAAATTTAAATGAATATTTTGTCATTATGTCGTAATTTAAATTTTATGTCCTAAATAGTCCAACATTTTGTTAAATTTAAAATTTTGAAAAAATGTCAAGCAAAATCTTCGAGGGACATTCTTAATTTCTAAGACCATTTCAACCAACGTTACATTCATTCGTATCAGTCAAAACTACATGCACTTGCGTCAATATTATAATTAATTCTAGACAGCAATCAAATGCTGAGGTGAAACCCATTGAATCAGACAAATAGAAAATTTCTTAACAAATTGTTTTGAAAAAATATCAAGACATGAGCTTACATTGTCAATCTTCTTAGAAGAAGTAATCCCAAATCATTTTATGCTGTTATATATCGAATCGTTATTCGATGTGAAATTTATTTCTGAACATATTTGAACATGATTTGTCTCATTTGATAACAACGGTATTAGAATCTATTGACTTGCTGGAGCTTCTAAACGAGTCAATGGCTCATATAAACATGATTGACTTTGAACCGTAAAAAAACACGGAGTTCTATTTTAAAATCTCAACATATTTTAAATGGCTCGATCGAGATCCTCATAATTTCTTTTTTTGTTTTTTGATGTGGAATTTATTATTTAACAAACCAGAGGTCAAAATAATTAAATAAAAAAAATTGCATCATTATCTTATCATTAAGATGTAAACATAATGTAATCTAAGTTGTTAGATAAGTACTGATCATACTTGGAGGTTAAGACTGTCTAGGAGTCCATTGAATTGCCAGCTGGTGGAAAAAGATGCTAAATGGTACATATAATTAAAATATATTTAATATAGACACTGTTCATATATATATAATTGGTGAATCAATATTTGAATATAATAAAAAAAGGATCATGTTGAAATTGGGTTTTTTGTTAGTATAATGTGGTGTCCACATTGATAAGTTATAGTTATTATTTTAAAAATTTTAATTTGACCTTAGTATTACACTTTACAACCCAATAATTGAAGTTCTACCAAAAGAAAAACAAAAAAAGAATTCGAGCAATCGTAGACTCTTTAGTTTATAAACTTACGATTTGATCTGAGTTTTTGAAAACGGAATAACTCGATGGTATATAACGAAATTTTAGTGATCTTCCCTACGATGAAAAGAGATAATTTCTAGTGAGATATGAAAAGAGTAAGGGTTATTAAATTTCTAAAAGCGAACTCCAAGCTTGAATACAAAACGTGTAGACTAAAATCCCAATTTCCAAATAATATATAGTTTCGATACCAGCTTGGTTTGGTTTAGATAAAAATCAATTTTTTTTTAAAGTAAATTTTGATAAAAGTTGATCGAATTTATTGTTGAAAAGTTGTGGGTCCCATAAAATGAATGATTAAAATTATTTTTAATTTTGACTTAAATATTAATCAATAATTTTAGCTTAGGTTAATTTCCTAGTGGAACGCGAATTAAAATTTATATGTAGGATAAAACATCATCCTTTTCTATCATTCAATTTATCAACACGCTATTGTAACTAAATCTTACCAATAAATTTTGATTTCGTCGAAAAGTCTTCTATAAATTTGATAAATAAAATCAATTTCCGTTGACTACTCAAAATTTAAGATCTTTCAAATATTAGAACTCATAGTGGACTTCTTCGTGGTGATATTTATGATCGAGCGGTAGGAGACTTCGAGTTGTATGGGATGAACACATGAATTGACTAGTCTTACAAGGATATTAAGTTTTGATTTTAAATTAAGTGCTTTTGGAATAGCTTAAAAAATCACTAAAAAGTAGAAATCAAAGATAAAAATAATTTTAATCATAATTTTTATCAAGTTTTTAACTATGAATTTCATCAACTTTTATTAAAATCTTTTAGAACATTTTTCATTTGTCACGCAACTGCTAAATGTTCCGTCTAAGGAAACTTTGAATCTTAAAAGTCTAAGAAATATTAATTCTTAATACATGTTAGAGAGGTAGGTGTTTATTTAGCCTAAATTTGAACCCCATTCTTTAAAATTCAATTTTTTTTTTTCAAATTCATTTTTAATCACATATTTTTCAAATAAAATAATTTTGAATGTAATTCCAACGCTTTTATCTATTTTTTAAGAACACAAAAAAAAAAAAAAAAATTACTTTTTAGAAAATTTATTATGAAAAATGAGCTAAAAAAGGACTTAATTTCAATGTACATTAAATATATAGAAAAAAGTACACAACATAAATGGCATTAGTTTATGGAAACCTCCACGGGTAAGTCTTAAGAAAAATATACGAATACTTGGCAAAAGTTATGGCTTAAATCTATGGGTTGATTAGTCCTAACCCTAGGTGTGGCTTTAGAAATTAGCATATATTTTGACACGCAAGTTCACATTGAAATATATTCTAGATACTAAAATTTCTAGATAAAATGTATAAAAGTC